ACAGGCCCAGGAAGCCCTCTGAGCATCTGGAGTTTGAACTGCCGACCTTGCGGTAACCCACTCCCCACTAGGGCTCCATTTCTCAGGCCTGGGGGCTGTCGCTGACTTCTAGGTGTGGTCCACCGTTTGTTCTTTGGGTTTCAGAGATTTGCAGTTTCGAGGATGTTTTGTTTCTTTCTCTTTGAAAGAAAACACACTTCCTCGTGCAGGGCACCTTTAGCTACGAGGGACTGGGCACACATAAGCTTCCATGGGCAGCTCCTGCCAGGCTTCTTCAGCCACATGTGGGGGAAGCATGACATTGTAGCTGCTTTACTTAGCACCTTGTGCGGGACAGAGCTGGGGTTGGTTCAACTAGCAAGTGGGGAGAGGTGGGGCTGAGGGCTGCCTCACTGGTACCCAGAGTGCTGACCCAAGGGAGCTGAAGACTGCCAAGAATCCCGCCTTGGGGAGCGCCCAACTCAATGCTGACCGCCTGACTCACTGGCTGGACAGAGGGGAGATGGTTGTTGGCCAAATTTAGAGCAAGAAAAATACCATGGGCCACTTGTGATAAGGTGACTAGATGAATCACAGCTTTCAGAGAAAAGAGAACTAGAACAATGTGTGACAGATTGGGACGTGTCTCTCCAAAACGTCTGCTAATGTGGCTGGGCCTTGAGTTGCCGTGTGATGGAGTTGCCCTCTGATATAATCGTCCTCCACTTAGTATTATAAATCCTCACCTCAGTGATGTTCATGAGGCCGGAGCGGAGCCAGTCATGCTAATGAGGCAGGACATAATCTACATGATTAGGCTGTATCTTGAGCCCATCTTTTGAGATTCTCTCCACTGGGAACCACCGAGCCCCAGGAAAGACGGCTGCCAAGACACAGGGAGATGTCCAAGGAATGCCTGGCCTACACGTGCCGCGGGACCTTCCTGTGAAGCCAGAGAGTCGTCCCTGGACTTCTCGCCCCCTGAACTAAGCAAGTAAATTTGCTTGTCAAAACCATCCACTCGTGACGATTTGTTACAGCCGCACGAGGCGAGGAGCCCCGGTGGCGTAGTGGTTAAGTGTTTGGCTTCACAATCAGCAGCAGTGCAAGACCACCAGCAGCTCCATGAGGGAAAGACTGGGTTTTGTTGCTATGAGTCAGCACTGACTCGAGGGGAGGGAGTTGGGAGTTTGGGCGAGTCTGGAACCTCACTAGTGACCCCAATGGATGACAAATCCACATGCCCTCAGAGCTGCCAGGAAGGGCCTGACCATCCCAATCTAGCACAGGAAAACCTCCTCATTGGGGGACTAAGAGAAGGCCAGGGTGGCCAGGCGTGTGCACGTGGAGGTCGAGAGTGAGGTGGGGAGAGGAGATAGGTGTGACCGGTCCCCTGCTACAAACGTCTTCCTTTCTCAGACTCTTCTGATGGTTTCCACTGCAAGACCAGCCAGTGCGCTGGGGATCAGTCAACGTCCATCCTTCGGTTGTGACTGAGGAGCAAGTCCGGGGCAGCCATCAAGGAAGTCACCCTCTGAAAGATGTCGCAGGTGCGATCACGGAGACAGATGAGGAAACAAGCAGAGCCAGGTGAGGGGAGGCTGGAAAAGGTACAAAGTCTGAGGGTGGGGCAGCCCAGGCCTCCTGCCACTCGGTCCACCACAAGCTGACCTTTGACCCCTTTGATAAGAGTCTGGCAGGCTGACCAAGATGAGAAAGGGGCAGGAGGAAGGGGGGTGGGCGTGTGGGGCATTGGGAGGCGAGAGGTCTGAACAGGGGGCCGGAGCTAGTAGTGGAGAGTTGGTGGAGAGCAGAGTTGTGGGTGGGAGTGAAGGAGTGACTGGGGAGCGAAGGCCAGAGGGAAGGGCCGACTCTCCTGCAACCAGTGCGCCCACCAGCCCAGCCTCCTGCTGGCCTTACTCCCCCCTCCCTGCCGGCCACACGACATCCCCAGGGCAGTGATCATTACAGGAGCAGACTGCCACAGCTTTTCTCCACCAGTGGATGGTGGGTTTGAACTGCTGACCTCTTGGTTAACATTGAGTGGTTAACCACTATGCAAGCAGGGCTGCTTCCCAAACACTGTGCTGTGGAGTAGTTCCAGTCCATAGCCTCCCTATGGCTGACGAGCAAAGCACTGCCGCTCACGCGCCCTCCTCCCAACGCCAGCCGTGCTCGAAGCTTCAGGGCTCCTGCATGGCTGAGGGTGCAGAGCGGGCACGTGCTGGTGGGGTTGGTAGTAGTGCCCTGCTCAAAGATGTGCCCCTCAAAGTAGCACAGCCGGTCCAGAATGAGGTTTGACATCAATCGACAGTTCACCTTTTTGAAACGAGAAAACCCCTCATACACATTGAGTGTTTCCATAATGCTGTCCTTGTAAGTTGTGTTCCAACATCACAAGTTTCTGTGGCATTTTTTCCAAGCAGGAAACGCAATTTCATAGCCACACTGTTCTCTTAAACCAGCCAGCACAAAATGACGTTCAAATGAAACTGCTTTTATGAAAAAAATTCACTGTGACCAGAGAGAACCTTCCCAGGCAACGCCACTGGGTGCACTAACTCTGAGGGAGTTGCTTGATGCTCGCCTAGCAGGAAAAATTCATACTAGGGATGCTCCACCCAGTGGAATTTTTTTCCGGGTTTTTTTGGGTACTCCCTCGTACTTTGGACATATTGCGAGGAGAGACCAGTCCCTGGAGAAGGGCATCATGTTTGGTGAAGAGGAAGAGCAGTGAAAAAGAGGAAGGCCCTGGAGAGACGGACTGACACTGTGGCTGAATCAGTGGGTTCAGACCTCAGAACAACTGTGAGGATGGCACAGGATCGTGCAGTGCCTCGTCCTGCTGTGCACAGGGTCGCTACCGGTCAGTCGACTGGCTGGTACCCAGCAATCACTCTTTACAGGAGTGGAAAGCCTCATCTTTCTCCGGAGGAGCGGCTGGTGGTTTCCAACCGCTGACCTTGCAGTCCGATATGTAACCAGTGTTCCCAGGGCTCCTGGCCAAACAAAAGACGTGCCTGTAGTGTGAGCAATCACACAAGGGAGGTTTGTATTCCTTAGCACAGTTGATCAGGTGAGATCTACAGGCCAGCATCTGCCCAACATCTCCCAGGCAGGCAGGGACAGGAGAGAAGGCAGAATGGAAAAAGCCAGCCGTGGAGACTGGAAAACTGATCTGACCTGTCACGTTTCTCCAAATCACACCAGTTTGAGAAAGCGCTGAAGGCGATGAGCATGTGTGACAGACATGGCGCTGAAGGTGATATGCTGGGTAGTGACTAGAACGGTCATGGCCCACCCATGGAGGGCATTGAATTCAACACCCATAAGCCCAAGTTCACACAGCTCCAGGGTCACAGGCAGAATAGCACCCACCTCTCCTGACCCACAATTTAAGGGTGCTGTGACTGGTAGCCCCTCATCCTGTGGTGGTGTGTTGTCAATTCCACCTGAGAGTGACCCTGGAGAATGGAGTAAAGCTGCCCTACTGTGTTTCCAAAGCTAGTGGCACTGTGGTTAAGCACTGGGCTGCCAACCACGAGGTCAGAGGTTCAAACCCACCAGCCACTCTGAGGGAGAAAGAGAGGCTGTTTGTTCTCTTAAAGATCTACAACAGTGGTTCCCAACCTTCCTAATACTGCAACCCTTTCATACAGTTCCTCATGTTGTGGTGACCCCCAACCATAAAATTATTTTCAGTGCTACTTCCTAACTGTAATTTTGCTACTGTTATGAATCGTCCTGTCAATATCTGACATGCAGGATGTATTTTAATTGTTACAAATTGAACATAATTAGAGCACAGTGATGAATCACAAAAACAGCATGTAATTATATATTATGAAATATTTATTTCTAATGACAAATCAAGGAAATTTTGTCTTGAAGTGTGGTGTAGCATGGGTAACGGGCTTCACGCCGGGTACTCGTATGTGGGCGTAGCTGCATGTGGGCGGACCCATCTGGAGACGGATTGAAATAATGTGTTGCGACACATGAAGGGCTCACAACCCGCAGGTTGAAAACCGCTGACCTACAGCCTTGGGAACCAACCTACTCTTTGGCAGTGAGTTTGGTTTGGGGTTTAATCTTTACAAGCAGACATCGTTCTCCTTTGGAGCAATTGTTGGGTTTGAACTGTTAACCATTTGGTTAGCACTGAGCAATTAACCACTGCACCACCTGGCCCTCTTCTGCTAACAGTACCTCCATCCTTACCTGGGAACCATGCCCTTGGCTGGGCTGGCCCTCCTGCTGCAGGCAGGTTCTCCCCACACCTCCAGCGGCAGCAGTTGCGCGCTGGGCTCCCGGTCCGCTAAAACTCGGAGAAGCCGCCCAGGGCCGCCTGGCTCTTCGGCTTCCCACTTAGGTCTGGCTAGCTGCTCCGACCACGCTCGCCGGGGAAGGGGAACTGGGGCCCCCTCTGGCCCAACCTCGTGATTCCCCACCTCCCGGGGTGGGGGGCGGAGCGCAGCCTCGCGGTTACCCAGCCCGGGGGACACGCAGTCTCCAATCCCGGCTACTCCTCACACGCGGCCCGCGGGCCTCGTCCCCACTGCCAGTCAACGGCCTTTCCACAGCAGCCTCCAGCGCCCCCCCACCCCGCCTTAAAGGAACTTAAAATTAGCTTTTCTGCCGCAACACCGCGAGCGTTACCGCTCCGACCTTTCACCAAGCTCCCACGGCGTATTCCCCCAAGACGCCGCCCGTGCAAGCGACGTCCTCCCCAGGGCTCACGCTTCAAGCCCCGCCGCCGAGGGACGGAAGCCACCGGGACACCCGCTATGGGTCCCCGCCGCGTGCCTCCCGCGCTGCGCCCGCGCCCAGGAAGCCGCTGAGCGACGCCGGAAGTGGGCGGCCGCGCGACCTCGCCGCGACCCCAGGCCGGCCCGGGCCGCAACGCCTCGCGGCCAATCGCGCGCCATCTCTCTCTGACGTCACGAGAGGCTAGCCAATGGTCGCGGGCCCGTCCGCCCTCCGCCCGCCTGTGGGAGGGCCCGGCCGCCGCCGGGGAGCAGGCTGGGACCCTGCGCTGGTCTGCAGGGGCCGGCGGGTGCTGGCCAGGTGAGTGCAGCCCCTGCAGCGGGGATCGAACGCTTCGGCCCGCTAAGACAGGGGGGGCGTCACGACGGGGCAGGGGGACCCGTCCCCTCCCGCCACCGTGTTGCAGGGTCCTTCAACAGGAGGAAGGGGCTGTATCTGCACACACCTGGGGGAGGCGGTCCCCGTGTCCTGGCACTCGGACAGGTGGGCGTAGGAACTGCGGGGCCTAGGCGATGCTCCCTTCAGTGTTTGGGCTGGAATTAGCCCCAGGTGATGCCAACCGTTGCTACTCGGGTGCCAACTTAAAGGTGGATGGTAACAAACTCCCCCAGCTACCCTGTGGAAGAAAGGCCTGGCGATCTGATGCTGTAAAGTTTGGGTTTTTTTTTTTTAACCCTTTGCTATGAAGTCAATTCAGACTCATCGTGACCTCGTAGAACAGAGTGGCACTGCCCCAGAGTGTTTCCGAGCCTGTAATCTTTACAGAAGCGGAATGCCACAACGTTCTCCTGATGAACCGTTTGGTGGGTTCAAACCGCAGACTTTGTGGTTAGCAGCCAAGCAGTTAGTCACTGTGCCACCAGACTCCTTCCATTATAATTACAGCCAAGACAGCCCTAGGTGCTCAGCTCTTATCTAAGCTGATTTGGGGCAAATGGCAGCTGTTTGGGTGGTTGGTTATTTTATTTGGGGTGCTAGAGCCCAGTTTTAGAGCATGGCCCCACCAGGAGCCCATCCAGCCTTCTGGTGATTAGTAGTGGAGGGAGCAAAGTCCTGGTCCCCGTATTTAGTGAGAGCAGATGGTCAGGGCTGGGCATGCCCATACTTGCCACTGGTGGCAGCATAGGGGGCCTGAGGCCATCACCTGTCAGCCAAGCAAAAGCCAGGCTGGCTTATCCACAATGATGGGCGAAGGCAAACCGTCTGTGGAAAACCAGCCCAGGGCACCCTCTGGTCAGGCTAACCCCATTTATAAGGAAGGGCTGGGGTAGTTTTTGAACAGCCTCTGCAGTCGGCAGCCAGCATGTGCCAGCTGTTAAAACCCTAAGACTGCTAACGGAAAGTTGGGCGGTGTGAGTATGCCCAGAGGTTATCTTAGTTCTGAAAGAGCACAGCCCTTGGAACCCCCGGGGGAGTACATACCGTTCTCACAGGACAGACATGAGGTTATGAGTTGGAATTGACTCTCTGGCCAGTGCTGTAAGCCTCCTGTCCTAAGTGCTGCTCTAACCGGAATTCCGCAGGTGGGCAGCTTCAGCAAATAAACATTTTCTCTCAGTTTGGGAGTCAGGCTTTCTCTCTCTTTTGGTTCTGGGGGAAGGTCCTTGTCTCCTTACAACATCTGTAAGCATAGTGCAGGAGCCTGGGTGGCATATGATTATGTGTTGGTTGGCAACCACAAGGTCAGTAATTCGAAGCTTAGTGCTTCCAAAGAGAGTTCCAGCCCCAAATTCAAAGGGGACAGTCCTACCCTGGTCACAGGGTTGTTTGAATGGGAATGGACTCCATTGGCCGTGAGTTTGAGGTCCAGTGTTCCTTCAAAGTCTCCATGTCTGAGCAGAGGCCTGAGGAGAGGTCCCTTAGTTCTGGGCTTCAGCTCTACCTTCTAGGCCCACTGAGAGGGCAACTATGCTCCCTCAGCTTCGGGGCAACCCCATTCTCCTCCAACTGGGTGGCAACCGTATCCCCTCAGCCCCTGCAGCCCAGGTCTTCTGCCACTTGGAGATGGCAGCCTTCGCCACCCGTTCTGCTGCCCCAGCTCTTGGCCCCATTACACTGGCACTGGTTAATGGCAGCCTGACATTCTGGAACAGAGCTGGTGAAGACCTGACTTTTTGAAACACTGGAGGCTGTGGCCCCACCCTTGGGAACGCAGAGGCCCAGCTGGAGTACACTCATACCGGGACATAAGCATTTACTCGATGGTAAGTGGTATGAACCACTATCTAGCGCGGCCGTCGCAGAAACACGAGTGGCTTTAGCCAACATGGGTTCTCTCCCTCACTGCCATTGAGCCGGTGCCGGCTCACAGCCACCCTACAGGGCACAGGAGAACTGCCCTTGTGGCTTTCGAAGACTGTTAACTCTTTACAGGAGTAGAAAGCCTCATCTTTATCTCTTGGAGCGGCTGGTGATTTCAAACTGCTGACCTTGCCCCACTCCTAACTTGGGTGCCAGTTCTCCGGGAAGGCTTTTGTCTCTGAGGGCAGGTCCTGGTCTCCTTGCAACATCTGTAGGCCTGCATCCCTCGAGGATATGCGTGTGTCTTTGCATCAATCTTCCGCTGGGCCTAGGAGCTTCCCAGCACAGGGACCCTGGGTCCAAAGGATGCTTTGCTCCTGGCTCTTCTCTACAGCAGGAATGAGGTCTTTCCCTCTCCTTAGATAATAGGTGGTGCAGGCTACTCCCCAGGGAGCTGCTCTTACATCCGATCGGGAGTGGGACCAGAATAAGGATACTTCATCCCACCCGAGTCCCCTTCCTGTTGATTGAATGCCTGAGAGCTCACCCTGGGAGATGATAGGATGCTTCATCCCACCCGAGTCCCCTTCCTGTTGATTGAATGCCTGAGAGCTCACCCTGGGAGATGATGACATCATTGCAAAGCTGTGACCTAGGCAAACTGACACATAGTTAGGGGGCACACCATTCAACCCATGACCCACCTGGCGGGGCCGGTGCTCTTTCTGCCGACAGCCAGCTGGAGTAACCAGAAAACAAGCAAACAGACATTCCAGCAAGGAGCCCAAGGTAAAACAGACTCAGGAAAGCAGCCCTGGGGAGGCTTCTTGGAATGACATTTCTCTCAACCACATCTCCGCCCAGCCCCCTCCCCAGCTCCTGCTCCCTGGAGCATCTTTGGCCCCTGGAGGGGGTCTGTGGATGATGGGACTGTGATGTAAACCATGCTGAGGGCAGCCAGCAGGCCTTTGGAGTCATTCCTCTCTGTGGAGGGACAAAAGCTCTAAAGAGAAGTTCCGCTGCAGAAGTTCCCTGTGTGTCGGTCAGAGCCTTGAATATTGTTCTTTCCACCCCACAAAACCAAGACACCTTTGAACCCCAGCATGTTGGGGCTGTGGGTTTCAATCCCCTTTTGAAAGAGCCCTTTGCTTGCGGCCACTGGTCAGCTTGGAGCGGGGAGGTGGACGTGGCATGGCAGGAATCCAGGTGGAGGCCACAGGAGGTGGATTGATGAGGGAGGGCTGCCCCGGGCCACCCTCTGTGCCTGGGAAGTGACTTGCCTCCAGCTGGCCAGGCCCTGCCCTGAAGGGAGCCTGCACGCGGCCCTCATTCCAGCTCTGCCCTGTAGCAGAGGCCTGAGTTAGCTGCCCGAGAGGCTCAACTCCGTCCCTGTGGAAATGCCTGCTTTGTCACGTCCCTGAAGGGAAGTGTCACGTGCGCTCAGCATCTCAACCTGCAGACCGAGCCAGGCTTGTCTGATTGCTCCTGCAGCTAACCGTGACCCAGGGGCTGCCTTAGGACACCAAAGCGCATTCAGGTGACCCCAGAGAAATGGACGTTTCCAGAAAACACTCTCCCCTCCCCCATTCGTTTATACGGCGAACAGTTTCGAACAGACTAACGCAACCGACCCCAGTGCCGGCGAATTGATTCCAACCCACAGCGGCCCTGGAGGATGGGGTGGAACTGCTCCCTGAGGCAGCCGCCGCGACTCTTAAGTCGTTATGGGAGCAGAATGCCAGTGGGCTCGAGCCGCTGCCCGTGGGGTCAGCAGCTCATTGCTGTTTTGTCCCTGGTGGCTCGGACTGCCCAGGGAGGAGATAAGGGACGTGGGGTCAGCACAAGCTCCTCAAGGAGCCCCCTGACTCAGGCACCCAGGGCCTGGGCTCGCTGGAAGGTTAGGAATGCCCTGTTCGCAGTGGCCTTTGCCGTGACGCCTGTCACCTCCCTTTCTGCCACCTCTCTTCACGTCCTCTCCTGGGTATTTCCCAAGCTTGGCTCCTGTCCACACCGTGTCCCTCCCTGATTTCCTCCTCAGTCTGTTCCCTGTGTTCTGGGTGTCTGTGAGACACTTTGTTCCCAAGAGTCCAGGTGTCCGGAGCAGCTATTGCTGCCAGCTCTACTCAGCAGCCTGTGACACCCTGCTGACACACCCCAGGTCACCACAACAGCCCTGCCCAGCCTCGAGGCCTCCAGACCCTGCCTGTCCCCTGAGAAGCTCCAGTTCCCAACCGGACTGGCCGGCCCTGGGCAGGGAGCCTCTGGCCTCCCTCCTGGCCCTTGGGCCCCGAGCTGCCATGTCCCCTGATTCTGATGCTGCACCCCACAATCTGCTGGCATGGAGCCCCCAAAGCAGGGGGGTGTTTTCCCCACAAACCAAGACTCCAGGCTGGGCCCCAGGACAGGTAGCACCTGGGTTCATTAGCTGTGAACCCCCGAAGAACCGTGGCCTGACTTAGGCTAAGGTGCAGGGGCCCAAGTGGCTGCCCTCACCAAACCCAGCAAGGAGGAGTCCCCCCAGAGGCCCCTGTTTCAGAGGGAAACCTATCAACAACTGCAGAAGGGGCCCCTCCAGCGACACAGGAGATGGGGCTGCATTTCAGGACTCTAACTCTGCCTATCGCCTATCGTTTGTTTTCAAAGAAAGAGCTGAAGGAACTAGGATTCCCCCAAAACAACCCGCCCCCCCTCAAAAAAAAAGCCCAAACCCATTGCTGCCAAGCCGAGTCAGCATTGGGCCACAGAGCAGAACTGTGCCATGGGGGTTTGTGTGAGACCAGAATAGA